AGAGAAAGGGTTCTCAGTTGCAATTTACATATTTGTCAACTGGGGGGTTTTAAGCATTCCTTATCATCAGTTGCCAACCAAATCCCTACTTTCCAAGTTAAAAAAGAAGAACCAAACAATTTCAAATGAGGAAAGCAGCTGTTCTTAAATACCATCCCTAAACACTACTGATTTTATTCTCAGTTGAGATCATAGATTGAGGAAGATTGTATCTTTGAGGTCATCAAATCCAAATCCTTCATTTTACCAGTGAGGAAAGTGAGACCCATAGAAATTTAGGTTATTTTTTTCCTAGAGTCACACAGCTAGTAATTGTCCAAAGGGCAATTTAAACCCAAGTCTTCTTGACTTGAAATCTAGCCCTCCATCCACTACACCACACTGCCTGTCATATGGATTCTCCAATAGTTATTGTTTCTATTCTAAAATACTCCTATTGTAGACCTTTGCTGTTTGTTAGAGCCATACCATGATTGTTGTTGCTGTTCAGTCGTTTTTCAACTGTGTCTCTCTCTTCCTAACCCCATTTGGGGTTTTCTTGGCAAAGGTACTGGAGTGGTTTGCCACTTGCTTCTCCAGCTCATTTTACAGATGAGGAAACTGAGGCAAACAGGGTGAAGTGACTTGCCCAGGGTCACACAGCTGAGAAATGTCTGAGGCCAGGTTTGAACTCAGGAAGATGAATCTTCCTGACTCTGCGCCTGGCACTTCCTGACTCCAGGCTATTCACTGTATCACCTAGCTGCCTGTTAGAACTGTGAAGGTTCTCCCAAAGACTTTACTTTCTACTGCAATCACTAACTCTTAGAGAAACCTGTTTCATTCTGGGAATCAGCAGTGCTAAAGGGAGTTGAGGACCCTGTAACACAGATATACACATATGAAAATTAGAAAAAAAAAATTGATTCAGAATCTACTAGCACAAAGGGAGGACTGAATACACAACCATAAGGAAAAGTAAGTACTCAAGGAGGAAGGACCATAGGATTTCAAGAGCCTCTTGTCTTGTCATTAATAAGAATGTGTATGTATGTGTATCTACATGTTGCTAATCCCAATAGAATGTAAGCCCTTTGAGGGCAAGGACTGCATTATTTTTCTCTTATTTCCCCTTTGTCTAGAGATGTGCTTGTCATGCCGGAGGCACTTAGGAATTAGCTTTGATGAAATGCCTATTGATTGAGAGCATGACCTAAAAAATGAGCTTCAAATTAAGCTTAATGGATAGAAGAGAAACAGTCAGGATCCAAAAGGGTGTAAAGTAGTGAGGAAATATAGAGAAAAGAGGGCTAGTAAAAGCCAAACATAAAGTCATATAGAGTTCAAAGAGGCCTTAGAAGCCACCCAGGCCTGAGGTGTCAACATGAAACCCACAACACCCAAACTAGATTAGAATGCCATTGAGAAATATTTAATAAAATAAATAAAAATACAATAAAACATAAATACTGTTAGTATGTGGTTTTAGAAGTTAATGAGGCCCAGAAGGCAATCCCCTCGTTACAAAGATGATGAGTTAAATGACTCACTCAAGGATATGCAGCTGAAAAGTAATAGAGCAAGAATTCAACCATTCTGATCTGATTCTAAATCCCTTACTACTAAATCATACTGCTTTTCAAATAGTGAATGCTTATCTGTGTGGGAAGGGAGGAAAGAAGGAATCTGTTTGGGTTGGACTAGGGTCCCTCCCAACTCATAGTCTTTGATTTTGTATCTGATAGAGAAGAGACAAAGAATGAACACTATGTTGAGACCTTTAAAGGTATGGATGATGAGAATGGAAGAAATAAAGGTCAGACATTGAAATGCGAGAAATACTGTTATATTGACAGAATTTGAGAAAGAGGAATTTTCTCCCTGGAAATCAGATCAGTTAATCTTGAATGAAATAAGAGATGATTTAAGAAAAAGAAACTGTAGCAAGTAAATTAAGAAATGAATTAAGTCCAGATGAGGATTTTGTCCTGAAATAAAGAATTCTAAAGCTCTTATCAGAAGAGAGAGTTATTACAAGTGTGGGGAAATCACTCAACCATTTAAAATGAAACATGTTCTTTTTAAAATGTATTGTGAAGAAACATTTTGCTAGGCTAGCACCATCTAACTCCAAGACCCTTTTTACTGAGAGCCATCTATGTCAGATATCAAGCTGAAAAAAGTTGTAGACGATATCTCACAATATTTATCAGTGTTTTAAAATTCTCAGCATATCATAAAGCAACTAGTTGGTTCATCCAAGATTCTATTGGCAAGCCACAGTGCTGGGCACCACAGGAATTACAAAGATGTAGAGGACAAAGAGGGACCTAAATGGGGGAGAGAAGCCATTTATAGAACTAAGTACCATGCAATGCAGTGTCTCCAAAGGAACACAAAGCTTTGGGTATTCTATCAGAATCCACTTGTGATGTCATCCCCATCACTGATTCAGCTGTCACCTTCACATACATGACTCTCAAACATACATCTCCAGTCCTGACCTATCTCACAAGTTTCTCATTCCCAATTGCCCTTGAGATATTTCCATCTGGATATTCTATCACTTCAAGTTCACCTCATCTTAGCAAAGTGCTGGACACATAATAGGTACTTAATAAGTGTTTGACTGACTTACTGACAGACTGAACGTCTAAAATTTAACTTCTTGGTTCCTGACGTTGAACCATTTGACTTTGGGAGCTAAAACTTTCTTTCTGGCTCTGTATGTAAGAGGTAGAAGCTACAATCCTCAGAAAGGACCCTTTGTCTACTATGGGCTTGCCCTCAGACTTTAGTGCTCAGGGGCCTGAGCATTCAGCATCCAAGGTGGGGTAGCTCAGTTCATGCCACCTCTGGTGTCTTCTTACAGGCACCACTATATCATCTGAGTGGGATTATCTGCCCACTAGAGGTCCTTGGTGGTGGACCTCTTGCCACCAAGTCTTGCCAAGACTAAGACTCCACAAAACATGTTACACTCAACTCTCTGCCACAACAGTTTGAAACATTAATAGCATTTCTCTGTGGTTACTTTCCTTCTTCATTGGTCCCAGTTGCAGGATGGGTTCCTTGCAATGTGTTTGTTATTTACAAAGGATGCCAAATGCCAAAGGATCACCTCACACAGAAAAGAAAGGTGCTGCTAATGAGAACTCCTGTCACTAGGCAGGTTCCAATCCTGACGCTGCTGCTCACTTTCTCTGTAACCTTTGACCAATCACTTTAAACTCTATGGGCTTCAGTTTCATCATCTGCAAAAGGGAAGTTTGAACGAGGTGATCACTAAGGTTCCTTCCACTTATAAGTCCTCCGTCTTCAACCCATTCTCTTTATTTAGCATGAGGGAAGAGAAAGAGGATTTCCATTGAGAGGATGGATAAATACTAAAAAGACAAAAGGTCCAAAAGTTTGAATGTGTTTCTGGACTAATGTGGTATATAAGAGAATGAAGTCCAAATATGTGTGTCAAAAAGTAAGAGCATTTGATAATTCTCTGACTCTAGGGAAGAAGAAAGAATTTCCAAATATCTTAATTTGGCCTGCAATTTGAGAAAGCTGCCTGTCTCTCAAAGAAGCCAAGAGATAGGGTTTCAGAAAAATTGTGATGAGGTTGTAGAGGAAGAGAGAGTTTAGGAATAAACGTGAAGAATTTTACCATCAAGCTTTTGAGTTGGAAATAACAGTGCATGATAGGACTCGACTCAACTTTATGATATATCTACTTAGGGTTTCTAGTGATGCGAGCATCTGAACATCCCTAAAGTATAGCACCTACTTGATGATCTGAGACTGTAAATTAACACAAGGCAAGACGTGCATGTGTGTAAATCTGCTGAAGAGGACAGGGCTATATACAGAAGCAGGCTTTGTAAATAACAAGCACATTGCAAGGAACCCAACCTGCAGCTGGGACCAATGAAGAAGGAAAGACACCACAGAGAAAGGCTATTAATGTTTCACACTGTTGTGGCATAGAGTGGAGTGTAACATGTTTTGTTAAGATGTAGATTTTTTAAGTTGTTTCAAAGACAAAACTATGAATTTCAATTTGGTCCTTTTTGTTTTGTTTTGTTTCTTAAAAGGAAAAAAAAAGATTTTTAAAAACCATTATCAGCATCCAAATCATAGTAACTATTAAATCCAATCCTTGAAAACTTCAGATGAAGTTCATGTCCTCCCTCCTAAAATTTTTACAGCTGCTGCTTATTTCATTACTAGTTTAAAAATAGGATTCTGTTTTATTAAGGAAAAAAAAAAACTTACTATAGCATTCCAAGATATAGCACACATGATCAGTGAAAGTGAGGGAGAAAAAGAGAATAACTCTGAAATTAGTATTCATATTTGAATCAGAATCACTAACATTGATTCATTGCATTGATCAAGAAGTGGACCACTGCAAGGGGGAGGAGAGAAGAGGAAAACAGAGGCAGATAGACGGGAGAGGAGAAAAGAGAAAGAGTGAAAGAGAAAAGAATGATGGGAGAGGAAAGAGATAAGAGAGAAAAAGGAGAAAGAAAAGAGATGAAAAAGGAAAAAAGACAAAGGAACAGAAGAGAAAGGCAGTTGAGAAATGAGGAGAGGAGAAAGAAAAGAGGAAGGCAGAGAAGAGAGGAAATGAGATAGAGAAAAGATGAGGGAGAGGACAGAGAAAGGAGACAAGGTAAATTCTCTTCTCATTTGGTATTTTCTGAGGAAGAAAGACAGAGCACTTGGCTTAGAGATAGGAAGGCCTTGATTCAAAGCCCAGCCTAGACACTTATCAATTATTGTGTGAGCCTGGACAAGTCACTTAAATTTTCATGCTTTCTTATGTTAACTGACAGGAAGAAAGTTGCCTACCATCATACTTGAGCCCAGACCTTCACAACAAGTATGACACCAGAGTTAAGCTTGACAAAGCACACAGAGTATCAATGAGACCAATACAAAGGGGAATTTCAAAGTGTTATAGACAACATGAATGTGACTCTTTTTTTCCCTTTTAATGGCAACAATTAAAATGAATCTTAACTTACTCGCAGAGCAGGATGCCATTTTCTAGTCCTGTTCGAAAATCTCTGTCACCAAAACTTCGGCCAGTCACTTGCTGAGAAAGAAAAAGAAAAAGGCATTAACGTTTCTCTCTAATCAGGAAATTCAATATTTTTCCTGTAATTCAATAGCCCAGGAAATTATTAGCGACATTCCAGGAATGGGAAAAATGTGTTATGCCTCTGTTTTCTCCCCCAATCATGTAGTCTTGCCTGAATCAATTAAATCTAAATTTAGACAGTTTTTTATACTTCTTATTGTCTATCTACTATCTATAAAGATTTAAAATCACAGCTCTAGAGCTGAAAAGAACCTGAAACAAGATTTAATATAAGCTCTACATTTTATACAGGAGGAAACTGAGGCGCAGAAGAATTAAGTGACTTGTTCATTCTTGAACAGGTAATAAAGCATTAGAGGGAAGATTTAAACACAAATCCCCTTTACTCCAGTGGGTTGGAAAGTTAGAAAGACCTAGCTAGAAAGTTTCCAGCTAGAAAAACCTAATGTGGTTTCTCATGACTCCTGTCTGATGTGGACTTCTGCTTTTGTGGATTTGGTTAATTTCAGCCTCCGGCATGGTCTGTTTCATTCAAACCTCATTATATCCAATTCATTCATTCAAAAATATTTCCTATGCACTTACTAGGTAACTAGCTAATATTTACATGGAGTTTTAAGGTTTGCAAAGTACTTTTTACTTCTTTGATCTTTACAATAACCCTAGAGGTAGATACTACTATTACCCTCATTTTGCATATGGAGAAATTGAGTCTGTGGAAGAAGTAAGTGATTTGCCCAGGGTTATACAACTAAGTGTCTTGATTGGGATCTGAACCCAGGTTTCCTTGTTTCTAAGGCTAGGGTAATGCCACATTGCCTTTCAATATATATATTCAACACTTGACTAGCCTGTGCATGTCTGTGTGTGTGTGTGTGTGTGTGTGTGTGTGTGTTTTGAGAGGTTGGGATGGAATATTATAAAAAAATCTAATTATTAGCTCCTATGAACAAGTTGTTCATTCTGTGTCTTTCTCTTGATTACCAAGGTAAGTGGCCGTGCAGGTGATCCCTGCAAGGAAAGAAGTCACTATAGTGGCATGCTGCATTAATCTCCAGTTTATATCTACTCAAACTCTTAATTTTTTTATATCATCGTTCTGCCCTTAATTTGTCCTATCTCCCCATCTATACCATCAGCACTTTGAGCGCAAAGCCTGTGTTGAATGTCAAGCAAAAATCTCCTTAGCTTTCTGGCAGATGCTGATTTCTTGTCTTTAATAACAAACAAAAAATCAGAGGTGTGAGTGGTGCCACATATTTTAAGGCTCAAATTAAAACACTTTTGCTACTGGTCAGGAATTGTCTCAGACTCCACTGGTCAGGAATGATCTCAAATGCAAGGATCATTTACGAAACCTTTGAAGTAAGAGGTGGCCCCTTACAGGAAAGGGGAAATGCTTTCATGAGCCTAGAGAAGGTCATCTGTCAGCACTCTCTTTTAGCAGATTAGCTGTTAGGAAGTTTATCTGCATTCTCAGGGAGAGCTCCATCAGTTTCATTTGGGGGTGATTATTTCTCAGTTATGTCACTTTAAATGACATGATACTGACTCATTGAAACAAATGAACGAACGTTCAAACCTTTTGTTTTTCCTTTTATTAAGATGACTCTAGTAAGGAAAACCACATTGTAACCCAGTCCCTAATATAACTTCAAGGCAATGTCTTTTATTAAGTGTTTACAATATAACACATTGTATAATACAACTATAAATGTTAATTAACTGGCTACCTTCGCTATTATGTCAGAGCTGGGAAGGTTAGAATTAGTGCCAAGAATTAGCTACCCCAGCTTCAAGGATGATTACGTATGTAAATTTTAGTTTAGAAATATGCTAATTTACCTTCCAGAATCGATGCAAAGCAATGCTCTCTCTGACAAACTATAGTTCAATAATAAACTGCAGATGCAAAAATTGTTTAAAATGAAAATAAAATGGGAATGAATCATCCAATGAAGGTAACAGTTTAATTAAAAGGCTGTATGTAAATCAGTTATTCAGAATAGTTATTTGGCTGTATAGATCACTAGAAAGAGTACAGGATTTGGAGTGAGAGGGTCTGAGTTCAAATCCTGACTCAGAGAGGTACTACCTGCATGACCTTGGGTAAATCACTTAATTTCTCTAGGCTTCCCCTCCCTCTCCTAGCCCAGGGGGTGCGAGGAAAAGACTTTAAAAAAATAGTAATAATTTATATAATTTTGTTTTTATAATGTTTAAATTTCCCCTTCTATCCCTTACCTCCTTTCCCCTTCCCAGACAGCCAACCTTTATGAAAATCATTGTGAAAAATGGGGGAAGTTGTTTGAGTTCATAGGAATATAGATTTACAGACAGATGGCCCTGGGAGAGGTCATCACTGAGGTCCCTTCATTTGAAAAATGAAGTCCATAGAGGTGACTTACTCAAGGTCACAGAGCTAGCTACTAAACAGCTCAGCCAACATTTAAACCTGGGTCCTCTGACTCCAAATCTCTACGTCTCTGGAACTCAATTTTCTCATCTATTAACTAAAGGGACTGAACTATGATCCAATAATCTCATTCTATAATTTTTTTTCCAGAAAAACAACATTATACATGGTAGGTTCCTAGGATCACAGATGTACCTCTGGAAGGATAGCTAGAGGTTATCTATTCCAAACCTGTCACATTACTAAGAAACTAAGGTTTGAAATAGTTAAAAGATTCACCCAAGGTCCAGTGGCAGAGCCAGGATTTGAACCCAGATCCTCTGGCTTCAAATCTGGTTCCCTTCACCAGTCTGATCCACAAAATCCCATTTAACCCATACTCTTTCCAAAGCACAGAACCTAAATGCCCAGGCAAGTTATCAAGAACACATCTTTTTCCCAGCCCACTCTCCTTCAGGTGGATTGGAGATTCCCTCTCCCCTATAAGCCTGGCATTGTAAGTAAGAATTCACTGTTATTGGCTTGAGTCTGAAATCTCAGTAGAACAGAGGATGACAGAGACAAGAGGGACCTAGAGGTACAGTGAGGAGTGGGGAGAGAGCTGAAGAGTGATGGACAGCTATGGAAACTCTCAGCCCTTCCTGGCCTATCTTTTTTTAAAGCAAGCTCTATCTCCTTAATAGATGAGTTCTCCATGGTATCACTACTCCACTCCCTCTTCTGAAAGACCCCAAATCTGCCTAGCAACTTCTATTCCTCATGCAGTTTTGAGAACTGGAACCTCTCTGCTTCTGATATCTGAGGTAGGAAACCTCTTCCTGGCCCTCTATCTCATCAACTATTTATCAGGTACCTACTCAGGTGCCAGGCACTATGCTAGGTATAAAGACTGAAACAACCTCTCCTATTGAGGAGCTTCGATTCTAACAAAAGCCTCTTATGTGAGGCAACCCAGGGATCTCCACACTTAGCTGGGAGGAGTAGTCAAAGTCTGATGGAAGCCTCTCAATCCTCTTCCTGCCATGTCCTGAAGATAATCCCACTTCTGTCCAGGATTCCACTGCTGGCTGAGTCATGGATGGATCCTGCCCCACTGAAGATCTAATTGCATCTTTACCTTAGTAAGGACTGGGATCCACATGTACCTTTGGTCCTTTTTTTCTACCACCCTCCAACACCAACCCCCATTATATGTCTGGGTACCTCAAAATTAAAAAACCATAAGGTTTTCCGAAACTGATTCTGACTAATCCAGGGCCTCATAGCTATTCAGTAACTGACCCGGAATGTAAACTCATCTTGTTTCTAAGTCCAGCACTGGCTACTTTTTGAAGTCTCAAAAAAAAAAAGTCAAAGTCTCCAAAAGCAGTTGCAAAGGATTGGCACATCAGCTTTGAGGGGTATGCACGGAGGGATGGTGACAGCAATAATTTTGCTTGAGGTGGACTCTTTGCCCAAGAGTGGCCTTGTACCAGGTGAGAAGTAGAGATGGTATGTGAAGGAGTATAAGTTAGCTAAGCAACAGCATGCCTAATAGAAAAAGAGAGGAGGGCAGTGAAATCCCAATGAGGAGCAGAAGCTAGAGAAGAAAAGTTGTTCTGACCATGGGACCATCCTACCTACCTGGGCAACTATTTTAATGTGACCAGTTTATATGATAACATGTGTATGTGTTAAGTCAGAAAATCACAGAACTTGCTTTTACTAGTAGATTCCATAGCACAAAGGAAGCAAGTGTTTCAAATGCTTAAAAAAAAAATATGAAGGTTTGGGGCTAAATTTGTCAGGCATACATATTTTATCTCTAAGATAATAGAGCACAAACACTTGGAGGAACATGGTTTCCTGGAAATGTAGTATAAATGTTTAAAATTAAAGAGCCTAAATTGAGATTACAGAATTTTTATAGTGGAAAAGGTTATATTTAGGTGTGTTCCATACATTTTACAAGAATGACACAAATCAGCATAATTTTGTATGTAAATTGTAATATACATAAAAGTACAAATTTTCTTTTTTCTTGCAAGTCAGGATATGTTGCCATTTCTTATGTATTACTGGCAAACCCACTGATCTCCCTTGATCCCCAAAGGGACTTGTACAGTCTTCCTCCTTATGTCTCCTTGAGCTCAGAGTACTTCCCTCAACTATTTGTCCCCCGCCTTTGTTCACAGCTGTTGACCAACACTATCTGGTGTTAGCTGACCCTACACACATACCCCCTCTTGCTCAATAAATTCTATCAACATCTATCCTATCACCATTTCCACAAGTCTTGGATGTAGTGGGAAGTCCACCCTCTTTTCTAAAGCTAATCTTTCTATCTGCAATACGGCCACCCTAGGGACCTTGCTTCTACACATTTTCTTCCTCTACCACACCTTCAAACTCTCCATTTTCTTGGGTTCCTTTCCTTCTGATTTCAAACATTGCAAGATTCCTCATTTTTTAAGAAGCAAAGCTTCACTGATCACTCCATTTCATTCACTTGCCATCTGCAGATATATTCATCACACCCATGGGTATTGTTTTCTCAATCCCCCTACTCTCTTATGCCCTCCTTGGCTGAGACTGTGCT